TTTTTTTTGTAGATGAATGAGAAATTAATTTGCTGTAGTTATTGAGTTTTGCAGGGGAATACCAAATTGGTGACAACATAAAGCCATTAGACCCAAAAACTGTGGCCAGTGTTGTCCGCTATGGTTTTTCAAGATTTCCATTAAGCCATGATGCCACTGGTTATTCTATGGTCTACAACCAGCTTTACCCCTTCGAAGGCCTTCAGAATTATACTTCTGGAATCATCCACCATGTTCGTCTAACTGGTATAATATTATCTCATACCCTCATCTCATAAGTTCAAGATTATATTGTTAACCAGTTATACTTGCTTAGGTTAATTTACAAACCTTACAATATTCATGAAGGATCATTTTATGAATATCTTCCATGAATGTCTCCCATATTATTGTTTTGTGTTATGTGCCCAAGTCTGAACCTGATATATATTTGAAAATCATGAAAAAGATCAAACTGTTTACTTTAACCTTTTTCATTATGATAGAAATTCTCGCAATTTGATAGGTTTTCTTGCACTTATATTTTTATGTATAGGACTGAAACCCAACACACGATATTATTATCGGTGTGGAGATCCTTCTATACCAGCAATGAGCAATATCTATCACTTCCAGACCATGCCAGTCTCTGGTCCAAGAAGCTATCCACACAGAATAGCAGTTGTGGGTGATCTTGGACTCACCTATAATACAACAGACACAATCAGTCATTTGATGAAGAATGATCCTAATTTAGTTTTACTGGTTGGTGATGTTACTTATGCAAACCTATACCTCACAAATGGAACTGGCTCAGACTGTTATTCTTGCTTGTTTCCGGATGCTCCAATACATGAGACCTATCAGCCTCGTTGGGATTATTGGGGAAGGTGAAATGCTTATTGCAATTTTTTTCTTGACTTGTCTCTGTTAAACCTATGTTTGATACCAAAAAGGAAAAAGTTATTTATGCTTGTTTCTTTGAAGGTTTATGGAGAGTTTGGTTTCTAAAGTTCCAATCATGGTTATAGAAGGGAACCATGAAATAGAGGAGCAAGCTGGAAAGCAGGCATTTGTAGCTTACAGTTCTAGGTTTGCATTTCCATCAAAAGAAAGTGGATCTTCGTCCACACGTTACTACTCCTTCAATGCCGGGGGGATACATTTTGTCATGCTTGGAGCTTACATTGCTTACAGTAAATCAGGTGACATTATCTTTCTATAACCTCTTTCTACCATGGATAAGGACAAGATATTTTTCTTTTCATCTTTTACATTGTGATTTCTTGTATGGTAGGTTTGTGAATGCCCCCTCTTTACATTATTAGAGATAATGCTGTGTGAAAATTTATGAAAAAGAACACTAATCAAGGGTCTCAAGCAGAGCCAATGTATGATAGATGTTTTGTACTTTATAATGCATTGTCTTTATTGTGATCTCTTAATGTGTTCTAGATAGGAAAATCTATAAATCAAATAGACAAGAAAGAAATAAGAGAGAAACTGCATTTTTTATTACTGAGTAGAGCACATATAAAGGTCTATTGACTATATTGGTTTAATTGATTTGCTAATAAGTAATAATGACAACAGTAATGAAAGCAACTTAGGAGGAATATCTCCTTGATATGATTTAAGAGGCAGGCATCTGCTAGCATAGTCGGAAGTTCTGTCATACTGAGAAACATGCTGTTTAACGAATTATGGTAGAAAATATGTATAGACCTTATTACTTTAATCCTAATTTGTTTGTGTTTAAATATTCTTGTCTGCTGTAGTGTCTGCTTGATAAATTTGAGCTCCATCCTCCCCAGCCCACCCAAAGGTATTTGATTAAAGTTCTCTATCAGCTATTCTATTATTACTGACCTTTTTCTTTGTGCATTTAATTTTTCTTTTCACAGCGGAGCAATACAAGTGGCTTGAAAGGGATTTGGCTGAAGTTGACAGATCCATAACACCATGGCTGGTGGCTGTCTGGCACCCACCATGGTACAGTACTTATAAAGCTCACTATAGAGAAGTAGAATGTATGAGGGTGGAAATGGAGGAATTACTATATTCTTACAGTGTTGACATTGTCTTCAATGGACATGTAAGTATAAAAATTAACTATTAGATTCATTTTGGGCAATGAATGAAGGTATGTCATTATATTTTCATATTGTTTTGAGGGAACTAATGTATCTGTTGGAATGAATTATTAACAAGAAAAAAAACAGAGAGAGAGAGAGAGATAGAACATCAAGCTTTGCATGATAAGAATTAATAGCATTTGCATGTAAGAAATAAGTCTATTCAAAATGATGTGAAAACACAAGAATGTTAGATATACATGTGAATCTTTCGTATTCTTTCTAGCACTGAAGGTCATCTCTCCATTCCAAAAGCATTCATTTTTTCCCAAGTGAATTAATAGTGTTCTTTCACTAAAATGTAATCTAGGTTCATGCCTATGAGAGGTCAAACCGAGTCTATAATTACTCATTAAATCCATGTGGTCCTGTATATCTCACTGTTGGAGATGGAGGTAACCGCGAAAAGATGGCAATTGAACATGCTGATGAACCTGGCAAGTGTCCAGAGCCATCAACTACGCCTGATACATACATGGGTGGATTTTGTGCATTGAACTTCACAACTGGTCCAGCAGCAGGCAAGTTCTGTTGGGATCGGCAACCTGAATACAGTGCCTTCAGAGAAAGTAGTTTTGGCCATGGGATATTAGAGGTACTTTCTTTCTCTCTCTTCCTATGGTAAGTGCACTTCAATGTGTTTGGACATCCCAAGCATCATAATGCAAAATCTAGTGATTACAACTTCTTGTTTTAAGAATTTGTGCCATATCATGGATAATCCTAATTATGTTTAGTTATACTGATGTGGATTGACAAAACATCCATCAGTTTGTTTCTGACTTTTAAGACCCCAAATCATTGATTGCTTATGTATTCCAGTCATGTTGGTTTATTCTGAAATAACAATCGGATCAGTTCATGGGCTCTAATGGATGAATTGCAGGTTAAGAATGAAACATGGGCATTGTGGACATGGTATCGGAACCAGGACTCTCAGAGTGAAGTAGGGGATCAAATTTACATAGTGAGACAACCTGGTATCTGTCCTGTACATAAGGCACTACCAGCTAGCTGGTTTGCATACCGTTAAGCTGGATTTTCTAGTGATTTGACAGTGGAAAAAATAGAAAAGTTCAGATTTTGAGGTGTATGATAGGTTTGTTTTTGTTTGGCCAACAAGGTGTATGATGGTTAGGTAAGGAATACATACACATTTTCCCTTTGATTGTAGGGGGCCTTTCCCAGTCCAACAAAGATCCACTCGGTTCCGCCCCCTTCCCTCCTTACCCTTTTATGTTGTAAGTTTACAAATGTTGTGAAAGAGCCCGACTTCCTTGCTGATGTTGTTGACAATTCTTAAAGAAAGAAATTGGAACGGTTTGCTGGTGTAATAATAGAGGTGCTTGAATAAGAATGGGACATTCATTATGGTTTCTCTTAGTAACAAATGCATGCAAGTTTTGTGATTGTAAAATGAATTCGTGACTTTAAATTGGAGATATTATATTCGAATTTTGAGAGTGGTGGATAGCAAGGTTTTTAAAATCGGACTGGACCGGTCGGTTGAATCGGTCGGATCGGTATTCGGTGATGAAAATGGTTCAGTTTACATAAGAAAATGGTTTGATGTCAAAATTGGTCAAATCGTTGAAACCGATGGAACCGAAAAAATCGTCGGTTCAATTTCTCATGCAATTTTTTTTCAATTTTTTCCAATTTCACCATCTTCATTCCTTTCTTATACCCATTTTAACCTTTAATTTTAACAAAATTACAAAATTATCAGACACCAAATTAGAAAACCCTTGCCTGCAGCTTGCTCCTCTCGTCAAATCTCCTTTGCTGTTTGGATTGGTCAGTTCATTAGTTCAACTGGTTGAACCGATTGAATTGAGAACCAAACCTAAAAATGTTTCAATGACCGATTCGGTTTTAAAAACCTTGGTGGAGAGATTTGTAGATTAGAAGTGCAATTTCATTGGTTATATATATATATATATATAAAGTATAAGTTCATTACCACCCTTAGTTGAGAAAGACTTGAAATCACATGGCCTTGGTTGAAACTGATGCAGCAGCATGTACCCCACAACATTAAACAATACCCAAAAGCCTATGCCGATGCCTCTTTGGCGTTAATTATGACTTCTCTCTGTGCTGTTGATTACTAAGGCTAAACTTGGTTTTATAATAATGTGTTTGATGAAGTTCAGCTGTCCACGTACATCAGAGGATGCATTCTCAGTTCACCAGTCTGTTTCTTCCTCCATCATCATATGTTGTCCATCAATTAAAATAAGTTTAAGAAGTTTCTCCATTGACTTCATTTGAAATCAATCTTAGTAGTACAAGATTCATTGGAAAGCAATTCTTTAAATCTTTTTTGTTCTTTTATACTTGTTTACACCCGATTTTGCAACAAATAAAATAGTGCCATGTGTCATTTATGTTGGCAAGTATTTTGTTTGTTGAAAAATTGTTTTGTTGATGCAGATTTCTCCTAAATAAAGTTTAGTGGTTATTTACATGTCATCAACAATGCTGTTCAATTGTTGCAAATTTCTAAAAGCATAATCAACAACACTAACAAGTTAATCAACTTGTTGCAGATTTTATGCTGCCATTGGTTTTCAAGATGCTGTTGCAACTCTTTAGAATGTTGCCAAGGGGTGTTTATTACTATAAATACATGGAGATGAAATCAAGAAAGATCTACCTTTCACATAACAAGCCTTAGCACTATTTTTTTTAGTGTTCAAGTTCATCTAAATTTTAAGCGCCTTAGTTTAGTTTTAACTCTATGCTTTAGTGTACATTAGTTTTCAATCTTAGTTTAATGTCTTTTTCTTTAAAAATCCCAAAAATTAGTTATAATTCTCTGAGAATGCAATTTAGTTCCCCTTTTGTTGGTTTCGTAGTGGTAAGATTCACTACCTTCAATGAGAGTTTTTGTAATCGTATTGCTTCCTTCCCTTTATTATTTTCCAAAGGTCTTTTTATTTAATCAAGTGATGTCGCTATCCAATTTCATATTTTATTTTATTTTATTTTCGTTAATTTATATTTAATGCGACTGGTAGAATTTTCCATGTTGTCAGCTTCATTTACTTTAACTTTATTCATTTATTTATTTATTATATTTAGATTTTCTTTTGAAAGATTCAATTTAACTCAATCTGCATATTTAAAATTCATTAAAATTTTTAATAGCTTGGTGATCATTTACTTTCTTACAATTTTAGCTTTTCTTGATTAAATTAGTTTGGAGGAGTCATTGGAGATATATCCAAGGTATTTTGTCATTTAATCCATTTAGTGCAGGAAGTTCATCCCTCATTTCCACTAATCATCTGATCATTAAGTCACAGACTACGATGTTCTTCCATCAACTCACAACTGAGTACCATGCTTGAAGAGAATAGAGGGTTGTTAGAAAAATCTTTCTTATTTTCAGTAAAGCAAGTGGCATGTTATTTCACCTGTCACACGTTAAGAAGATTTTTTGGGATATCAATCTCTCAATGGGATGCCTAGTGGGTTCTCCTACTAGTAGTCATGTATCAAGAAAAGTTTTTTGATACTCTTTTTGCTTTTCCTAGGCATAAAGCAATTGTAATCATGCCTAGGAGAGTTGGAAGATAAGTTGCATAGCAAGTGGAAATCGCCTCTATGAGTCTAGTACATTTTGAAGTTGTTTCCTTAAAAATCCCCAAGTGGCTTCGCACGTGCAAAATCTGGATGTAGGCGTGCCACTTACTTTTCTAAAAAGCAAGAAAAAAGGATTTTCCCAACAACCCTCTTTTTCCATGCGGTTGACCTCTATTAGGATGGTTGGAAAAACGTTGGTTTAAGATTGAGTTTTGCACCCTTCAGACGATTTGCAAGAAGGAAGGATGCCTTCTTGCAAAATGGATTGTTAGTCTACCTTGGACAATCTCAAGGACTTTACCAATATCGTGAATTTAAGTTAATAGATCTAAAATGAATTGAATGAAATGCAAATTAGAGTAAACTTGATGTTTATTGCAGGCAAGGAAATAAGAGAAGCAATTACACAAACTAATTTGGGAACTTAAATGTTGAAACCAAACAAAATCTATTGTGATCTGTGCTAAAACTAAAATATGAAAGCTAAGGGGAGCAATCACTACGAAACTAGAGAATTGAAAATTTGATGAGTTTTGTGTAGGGTTGGCTGTGTATGCTGAAAAATTAGAAAGCTTCTATTTATACACTTCTTATGAAGTGTCTCTCTACTTCATTACTAATTGTTCAGATCACGGATAACTCCTCAACTAAACTTCCTCCCAAATTTTAAGGATTTTTATTTCTTTTAAATTCAAATTGCAACAAACTGGATAATCTTTATCTTTCCAAAACTAATTTTCATATATATGCATTCCTTTAGTAGATTTGATCTCATGTTATCCCTTAACATGTGGCATCACTAAAAATGCAATTTATGGTGTAAAAAAAAGCTAAAAATAGTCCAAAGCATCTTCCTCCCATTTCTTCCTTTACTACTCACTCATACAGCAACCCACGTATGGCAAGGATGTTGAGGAGAAGGGTGATTTTGTTGAGTCAAGTAGCAAAATATGTCAAGAACTTCAACAAATAAGAAAACTACAAGAAAAAGCTAATCGAAGCTAATCGAAGTATAATGCTTGGTCTAGAAAGTTTCTGAGTGGCCCAATGAAAATAGTAAGATTTTTCACTCAATATGTGAACACTATTGAAAGGGCCATTATTGAAAACTCTTGAGTTGTTCGAGGGGAAGTAGTAGAAAGTCACATAACTCTCACTACAATCTCTAAGAAAACCTTGGAATAGGTTCAACAACAGCAAAATGTTCCAAGGCAACTCATACCTCTACTAGTGGAATTGCCACAACAAAATCTTTTAGATCCTTTGCCTGGGAGGCATGGGAGCAAATTAATCGACCACAGGTGGTGCAGTAAGCACCTAATGCTCAAAATAATGTTCTTGGTGTTAGTCAGATATAGTTCAATAGGCAATAGCAAAACAATTCTATTGGAGGCATCCTTGGACCACAAGATCTAGTGGAGGCAAAATTTTATACAACCAGGTAGTTCAACATCGACCAACAAAGATATGTGCCTTAATGCTACATGATGTCTTAATGCTGCCCCACAACCTAATATATAACACAATTCCTTTTAACCATTTGGGTTGTAAGTAACACTCATTCCCATGGATAGAAATTAGTTGATTGAACTAGTCCAAGAGACATATGGACTAGCTCTAAGACCATTAGTTTGTCTTTCCTACCACTAGCCTTATCCAGACTACATAGATTAAGATAATTTGTTTCCTCGTGGATTGAATGTGCCTAAATTTACTTTGTTTTTGGGGATGTAGGTCAGTCAACCATTAAACACATTGGTAGGTTCACTGTTCAGTGTGGAGAGCATCAAGTGATGATTTTTTGAATTCTCAAGTTCTTTAACTAGAATTGCACTAACATAATACCTTAGTCTATCACAAAATTTTGTGTTTACTTGGAGATATATGAAAGATTTGTTCCATATTCAATTTTACTGCTCGGAGCTGAAGATATCTATAATTGATCACTCTAGATTGACTTAATGGCCAGGTGAATCTTCAAAAAATTACCTTGCATGGTTTAAGAAGGCTAGGATGGAATGTCATCTTTCATGAAGTTTACTCAAAATGGTTTAGACATTGAACTTCGAAAAAAGTTTGAAAGGATGGAATTTAGAGACTTCTTTGAGCTCTCTTACAAGGTGAATCATTATAAGAATCTCTTAAAGGAGAATCCCAAAGGAAGGCAACATCTCAAAGAACTTATTATCAAGATGCTTTTGACCTTAATGTTGCTAAACTCTTAGTAGACAAGCCAATAACTTGTCGTAATTTGGTGAAAGTCACTCAATAGGTTGAGGTGGGTATACATTTGATGTGACTAAAGCAAGTGAAATCTTTGATTATTTGAAAAAGTTTGGACATATTAAGCTACCGTAAAGGCATAAGCTCCCAACAGTTGCTAAAATTGCAACAAAGATTATTGCAAGTTTCATAATTCTTGGAAACACTTTACTAATGACTAGTTTATTTTTTGAAATATGTTATAGGATAAGATTGATAAAGGGCTACTTCATTTACCCAAAAAACCCAAAGTAGCCATGGGGGTTGATAAGAATCCTTTTCTAAATGTGGATGTTTGGGGTTAATGTTGTTGATACAAGGAGTATCACTCGAAAGACATATAAAGGGTGAACTTTGGTTGCAGATGATCTTTGATGGGTGATTGAGAAGGAAAAGGAACATCATGCCCAACAAAATTAGAGGCTTAGGGGCCAACGCCATGTTGCTAAAACCTATGCCTCGAGATCCAAGATAGACGAAACATGGCATATAGATTGCTCATGTATGATCAAGCCT